ATGGGCACTGCAGAACAAAACCGATGATAGAGAGAACAAAAGATGTAATTTTCCTTATTAAGTATTTTTAAAATCCTGATACATAATCCTTAAGATACGTCGGACTCAGGGCCGTAGTAAATCCTGGTCAAAATGCTGTATCTGACTTGATATTCTTGACAATTCTGTATTAAGATCTTGATCAAGAATTTTCAAGGAGTAGAATCTTTAAAGAATTTGTGAAAATTTTTAATTTCTGCAAGACGTTAGGAGCTAAGTGTTCAAGAGCAAACAGGTTTTGTGTTGGACTGAACTGTCCAAACTTTTTGCGGAGTTGGAGTTGAAATGAAGTTTGATTTTTAAACGATCGGAGTTGAGTGGATGACAGTTTTGTCAACTCCAATTCCGAAACTCCGGTTTAAAATTTCTTCAACCTTATTTTCTTTTCTTCGCGAGAGTTCTTTTTGTTTGGTTTTATCTATTTTTGTCGCGAGAGATATAAACGTGTGCTCAGCATATAATAACATATGATACACCTCACATCTCGCTGAAGGCAAAAGAACGAATGAATTTCAACTCGGAGTTGAAACGGAATTGGAGTTTAGATTTCTTAACGGAGTTGGTGTTGGAGTTGTATCTAACTGAAGCTGCCTACCTCCGTGTGAAATAATAACGGCGGATTTAGTCTTAATATTGGGAGAATGGAGACGTCCGGAAAAAAAGCCTTCAGCAACAAAAATGGACGAAACAAATTTGTGACTACTCATGCTCGAAAAACTGAGCAATACCACTGTGCACCTCTTTCTCTGTCCGGCAAAACTTTCAAATCAGCAAAGATGATGCTCTTATCGCTTACTTAGTAAATTCCTCCTATATTAATAATCACTGATCTTTTTTTTCCCTCTTCGTTTCTCCCGATTCTGCGGAATTAGCCAATGGAATCATTTCTTTTAAACTTTACAACTTTTTACAAAAAATTCATAACATAATGCATTTCACTGTTGCTCTAAAAACTATATAAATAGTACAACAACAACATGAGAAAAATAAACAACAATTATAAAATAATACTGTGATGATGAGTAAAGCATAATACAGCGACGCCAACAATGACACTGAAAACATTGAAAACAACAAAAAAAATCATTAAATATAACTTTGTCAATGTATAAGATAAAATGACTAGAGACTAGAGAGAGATTTTCGGTTAAAAAATACTGACTATAAAAAAAATCGTTATCAGAATGTCGACTACCGTTCCTGAACGGATGTTGTATCCGTATCAATCATTTCCTTTCTTAATTTATTTGTTAAGTCATCGATCTTGCCGTGTGAGAATTCTTGACTTGTATCTCGTGACAATGTATCAAATACATATTGATATTCTTCTTCTGCAACAGCCCAC